GGGGGGGGGGGGTGCTGGGCTGAAACCCTAGTGTCAGGGACTTGCCCACCTCAGGTCCAGAAGTTCCCTGTTTCCTGTCCACTCTCCCATGACACTCCCTCCATCTTCCCTGCAGGATCCCTAACTCCCTTCTCCACCCCACCCCAGGACTGGCCCTTCCCCTCAATGGGCCCCCAGAGAGCCACCTCCCGCCCCTGCCACCTTGCCCCACCCCTCCTTTCAGTGTCTGAAGTCAGGTAGCTCCCAGGGCAGAGTGGCACTGAGAGAACCAACCTCTCTAAGCGTTTGTCAGGACTCTGAGCTTCCCCAGCCACACCCCATGCCCTGTGGCCAGAACCAAGTTCTGCCCAGGGGCGCTGGGGTGAAGGGATGGAGAGCAGCCATCAAGGGGTAGCTGAAGAAGTCAGGGAGACACTGGAGGGAGTGATCTACCTCCAACCCTCTGTCCGTTTTACAGACAGAGACACTGAGGCTCAGAGAGGGAGGATGACCCACCCTAGGCCTCACAGTATGGGGGGCAGAACCAGGCTGGGAGTCAGGAGGCCTGTCCCTGCCTGACTCAGCCACACACCAGCCTCAGGGCCTTTCTGGGCCTTAATATCCCGATATGTAGGAGGACCGCTTCCTTCAACAATCATCTGACAGATATTTGCTGACAGAACAAATTCAAATTCTAGCTTTGCCACTCAACATGTGACCTTGGGCAGGTTACTCAAATCCTCCGATCCTTGATCGTCTCATAAGTAGAATGGGGATGACACTGGTGCTTGCTGAATGCGGTAGTCACAAGGAACGGTTGAGTTCATACCAGTGAAGCATGTGACATCACGCCAGGCCGGGCATGAGCACCCAGGGAATGTGAGCTACGGTCGTGCACCAGGTGACACAGGTACAGCACAGTCACCAGGGGCCCTGCCCTCCTGGGACCTGGTCAGGTGGAGGAGCAGGGCTGGGAGATGGGTACCATGCCTAGCTGCAGTCAACACACTGATAGGCAGAGGGCCCCTAGCCAGGCCCTTTGAATGACGTTGCAGACTGTGTTTGGGGTGGGTGGAGATTGTGGAGTGTGTTTTACCACCCACCCTTCTGCCCTCAGTCATCTTAGGCTTCTAGCTCTTGTGCTCCCCTACTCACTCTCAGGATAGGTGCCTTCTTCGAGGGCCAGGTGTGGGGCAGGAGTTGCCTATCAGAGAGATAGGATGGAGAGAGCTTCTGGTAGTTGCTTCAGGGCCTGCCCAGGCAGGGGTCTGCAGGACGTGCCCTGGGATCCTTGGTGGCCACATGGGGGGCCCAGTTTCCCTCAGGGTCAGCCCAGACCCTGTCCTCAGCTATCCTGACAGTTTCAGACTGAGATGGAGACTAGTTACTTACCCAAAGTCATTCAGCAAGTGCCCAGCATGAGAGTCACTAAACCATGGTCTTTCTGATCCCAAAGCCCAGCCTGCCCTATGTAAGCCTCTCATGGTCATGGGATTTATTTCTGGGTTCTTGGCCAACTACCCTGAGATTTCTTCTCGCTGTGAAATGAGACTGTGAGACCTGGAGCAGGCAGAGGCAAGGGAAGGCAACCCAGGGGGAACCTGGCCTCCAGCCCTCTCAGTTGCTCAACGGGAGTTTACCAAGGACCGCACATGAGTCGGACACAGGGTGAGAGCCCCAACCCACAGCTCCTGCCCCGATGAAGTTTATAACCCAGAAGGAGACATAGCAGGAAAGAAATCAGTGTGTATTTACAAACCTGGAAATTGGGATGCAAAGTGTGTGTGGGCATGAGAACTCTTGACAGGAGGCAGTCTGATGGGGATGGGGGGTGGCAGGGTGGAGATGGAGTGGTTCAAGGGGGCAGAGTGAGGGGTAGGAAGAGACCCTGGAGTCCCAACTCTGAGAAGAGGTCAGTGGGAGGCTGTGCAGAGCTGTGATGGGGCCTGTGGGATGTGATTTATGCCAAGAGCAGGGAGCTCTCTAAGCAGCCTAGTGTGATTTGCTAGGGATTTGGGATGGAGAGGACACCCTGGCCCAGACCACACCAGGGAGGCCTGGAGGAGCCAGCCAAGCTGTGATGGGTGCCCCGGGTCCCCTTGGAGGCCTTCAGAAGCTGCTCTGCATACAGCACTGTAAGCCCGAAACCGTTAAGCCATGTTGGCGCCTTACTGGCACACCGGAAAGATGGGGACATTTATTCAGAGACAGAAAACAGAGGTTCCGAGAGGCTAAGCAGTGCTACTTTCCTACCCTTTTGTGAAGACCCCAGGAGTCCACCAGCCCCTCCTGGCCAAGTCCAGCTCCTCTGACCTTTGGAAAGCAGTGAGATACCTTCACCCAGCGTCTTGGGACAGTGCCTCTGTGGCCTCTTGCCTTGGGTCTGGCTACTGATGGGGCCAGCTACCCTGAGATGGCTCAGCAAAGAGCCAAGGGGACACAGATAAGTCCCTGGTGGGCCCTGCCCAGCCCTAGGAGCCTGAACTCTCCCCACCCTGCCCAGACCCCACCACCCCACCAAAGACCAGAGCTACGTGCCCCCTCACCTCACATTCACTGAGGTCTACAGGGCCAGGCACTTCAGGGCCATTTGCCAGGTGCTGATTCATCTAATTATTTTTCCCCAAAATTCAGCTCCCTTCTGAGTGTTCCGTTGCCTATTCTGCTAATCTAGGCTCTCTGTTTTTGCCATTTTGCTGGTGTTTAAGTATTTTTTTAAAAAAACCAATCTGTCTGAGGGTACTGCCTACTTGATTTTGTATTCCTCAGAAGTCTCAATTTTGCAGCATTTTACAAATTACGACTCTATTCTGTATCCTCTTAGCTGTCATTTTCTACTTTATTTAATTTTGACCATTTTAAGGATTCCTCAGCCAATTTGTCTAAAGTCACTTTATATTCAAAATTCTAATTTTTTAAGATGTCCTTTCAAATCTGTGGGGAGCAAGGGATGGAATATTCAATAAGCTCATTTACTTTATTTTTCTTAACAGCCACCCAGGGCTCATCATGTGTACCCACCATCTGGCCTTTGCAAGCTCCACACCAACCCTGTGAGCTAAGACCACCCTGTCCCCACTTCACAGATAAGGAAGCAGAGGCGAGGTCACGTGCCCAGGGTCGCTCAGCCGGGAAGCTGCAGGGCTGGGATTCCAGCCAGGCAGTCTGACTCCAGATCCTCTTCCTTTAACAACAATTTAATTGTAATGTCATTTTGTTCTGATGTCAAGCTATTTTTAGGACTTTCAGACGGATGCCAACACAAGTCAGAATCGGGTGACTTTTAGGCAAACTGAACACTTGATGAGTTGGTGATTAAAGTGATCATTCCAAGCCGGCTCGGTGGCTCAGCCTGTAATCCCGCACCTTGGGAGGCTGAGGTGAGTGGATTGCCTGAGCCCACGGGTTCGAGACCCACCTGGGCAGGCGAGACCTCATCTCTACAATAAATCAAAAAATTAGCTGGGCGTGGTAGTGCACGCCTGTAGTTCCAGCTACTTGGAAGGCTGAGCGGAAGGATCGCCAGAGCCTAGCAGGTCGAGGCTGCGGTGGCCACTGCACTCCAGTCTGGGAGACAGAGTGAGACTCCAACTCAAAAAATAAAATAAAATACAAAGATAAAGTGATCATTCCAGGCCAGGTGGCCCGTGGCAGGACCTCCTGCTGGCCAGCTCCTTTCCCTGTGCTAGCCAAGGCACCCCGGCCTCCCCTCCTCCCACATCATGGGTGTTCAGGCCCAGCCTTGGCACAGGTGAGGAGAGAGGGGCTGAGGGACAGGAGTCCATAGGCTTTCAGAGAGGAGAGGGCAGCAGAATGAGGCCAGACCTGGAATTTTCCAGGGGGCTGGAGGCAGAATTGGGACTGGAAGGAAGGGTGGGGCATCCCAGGATGAGGGGCCAATGAGACCCAGGCCTGGGAGAGCCCCTGGGAGCTGGTGGGGGAAGGGGAAAGTTGGGGTCCTCTCTCATTCAAGGTCCCACATCCTGAAAGTTAGAACCCAGTATCTAAAGTCACCCTCTCCAGGAAGCCTGCCCAGACACTCCAGAAAGTGTTGACCACTTCTCCGCCAGTCTGGGTTCCCTCCTGCCACCTGTGCAGGGCCCAAGCTCCCCCTCCTCCGCCTCCAGCCCGCCCCATCCCCAACTTCCTGTCCTCTCTTCCTCCTCCATCCTTCCTTCCTCCCACCTCCTCTTAGTCTTTCACTCCCCTGTCTTGCCCACCACCTTCCCCTCCATCCTCTCCCTCCTTCCTCCCTTCCTCTTCCTTTTCCTCTCCATCCTCATCTTTCCCTCCGCAGGCCATCTCCCTCCGCAGGCCATCTCCCTCCGCCTCTTCCCTCTCCTCTAACTGCATGCTCTCTGAGGGGCCGGCCTGAGCTCAGGCTCAATGAAAATCACTGAATGAAAGCAACCATGGGGCGGAATCCTGCCCCTCCCAGCTGAGTCCTTCTCTGACCTTGGGCAGCAGAAGGAGGGGGCA